GTCAGAAAGTCAAATGGAGCGGGATGGATCGATTTTGAAACATCTCTTGCTAACATGTCACGGTTGACCCTGAAACATTCAGATCTGATTGAACCTTCTTACTTGTCCTCCACCTACCCTCCCTCCCTCCCTCCCGCTCCCTCGCTCCCTCGCTCCCTCCCCTCCCCTCCCCTCCCCTCCCCTCTCAAAGCTTCTCATCATCTCCTTTGCTCACTCCTCTCACTCACATGGTTTGACAGCATCAGGGCTGCCACGTCTTCACCTCTCACCCGATCAGGCCGGCAGAGCTTGAGGGTCGTCAGGCTGCAGGCAGAAGGTGAGACTTGCGCTGCTTGCGAGGGAGGAAAAGGAGGAAGAGAACAAGGGGCGAGGGAGGATGAGAAAGAGAAGGGCAGATGGAGGAGGAAACAAGCAAGAGGGTGAAGGAGGGGAATAAGGAGGGAGAAGGGGAGAAGGGGAGGAGCAGGCAAAGAGCATGGGAGGAGCATGGGAGGAGTGAGGTCAGGGAGGAGCAGCGGGTGTAGCACGATGAAGTACCTCGAACATCTGCTGATGTTCTCGACGACTCCGGAGAGGAAGGAGTCAGATACAGGCAGCAGGCTGATGGAGTTCATGGTTCGATCCTGAGCCAGGAGAAGGAGGGGCAGCAAGTCAAAGTGTTCGTCAGCCAGGAAGGATGTAATCTCACCGAGACGTCGAGATGGCGGAGCTTCTTGCAGGAGGCGAAGGAGGAGGAGAGAAGGTCGAGATCTGTGGTTCATGCGTTCACCGCTCAGTGCTTTCTTTACACTCTGCTGACCTCGAGATAGGAACCCGTTCTCGCTTATGTTCAGGTCTGTCAAGTTGGTGCAGGAGCTGACAAGTCAGGTCACCACCAGCTCTCACATACCTGTCAGACTAGTTCTCACCTGATCAACTTCCAGGTGTGCAGGCAGGAGATCTGACCCAGCCGATTCCTTGCGAGGTTGAGATGCCTCAGTCGAGCAAGGGCTGCAGGAGTGCTGGTGAGACTGGAGGCGGGAGGGAGGCGGGCACAGATGACAGAGCAAGGAAAGGTAAAGATCAAGGCAGACAGATCATTCCACGAGCAAAGTTGGAGCGGATCGACAGGAGAAGGTGAGAAGGCAACAAGGTGAGAACATCACGTGTGTGTGGGAACAAACAACGACAAACATGGTCCTCACTTGTTATCCCCGAAAGCGTCTGCAGCAGGGACTCCAGCCCTTCCCCCTCCCCTCCTCCCTCCCAGTTCCCCCACCCTCCCCACGTCCCCCACCCCACGTCCTTGACGTTTCCTTCCAGGTCCAACGATTTCAATCTCGAGCTCCTGGAGCTGCACAAAGTCAGTCGCCCATCACAATCCTCCTCTCCATGGTCTTGCTCTTCTGCTCCTGCTCCTGCCCCTGCCCCTGCCCCTGCTCCTGCCCCTGCCCCTGCCCCTGCCCCTGCCCCTGCCCCTGCCCCTGACCCTGCCCTTTCCCCTGCCCCTGCCCCTGCTCCTGCTCCTGCTCAATAGTTCTCCTCTTCCCTCCTGCTCCTGCCCCTGCTCCTGCTCTCCTACTCTGCTCCCTCTCCTCCGGCCCCTCCCTCTCTTCCTCGCGTTCCTCCTCCTTACATGAGTCCATAAAGCTCGCGGATGCCGTCGGGCGAGAGGTTGTTGTAGCTCAGGTGAAGGAGCTCCAGGCTCGTGTGACTGCCCGGCCATTGTGAGCAATAGAAATAACAGAAAGGAGTGAGAAGAGAGCAGGAGCAGGAGCAGGAGCACACAGTAGGAGCAGGAGCAGGAGCAGGAGCAGGAGCAGGAGCAGGAGCAGGAGCAGGAGCAGGAGCAGGAGCAGGAGCAGGAGCAGGAGCAGGAGCAGGAGCAGGAGCAGAAGAAGCAGCGGTGTGTACCTTTGCAGTGCTCGGGAGAGGGCAGCAGCTCCGTCTACCCCGATGTTGTTGTTGAACTCTTGATTCCCACCTAGATCTAGTTGGCGCAGACTGCCAGGTCGTTAGGCAGCTGGGCAAGAGGAGTTTGACACCTGTGACAGCGCGACAAGCTCTGCGACAAGCTCGTTGCTCCAACCGCGTCCATGACGTTTCCATGGAGATCGAGAGAGAGAATACCCACGTTGGACTCCAGGACCTAGGAGGGAACTCATCAATTCCCTCCCTCCCTCCCTCCCTCCCTCCCTCCCTCCCTCCCCCTCCCTGACTGACCTGACAGATAACGGAGATCTCCTTGTGCGAGAGATGAAGATGCCTGAGGGAGAGGATGGTGATCTTGTTGCTCGACAGCATGTCGACGTCGTTGTTGGAGACAACTCGAAGACTCTGAGTCGGACGGTGAGCCGGCGGCAGAAACAGGAGAGGAACAGAGGAGCAAACCGAATCTGACAGGGTATTGATCGCGTTCTTGGGGGACCACTGCAAGCTCGATGTAGATTTCGTCTCGAGGCCTACGAAGCTCTCAGACGCCAAACTGGAGGAGGAAGGGGAAGGTGGAGGAGGCAGAGGGAAGGGAAAGTCTGAAGGACAAAGAGCAGTGACAGAACGGGGCGGACGGACGGAAGGAAGGAAGAGAGGGAAAGGAGGGAGGGAGGGAGGGAGGGAGGAGGGAGGAGGAGGAGGAGGACGGAGGTAGGACG